TCACACATCCTGCTCACATTCTTGGCAAATTTTGCACCCGTACATGCCTGGGCTCCTCGACTCTCAGGCTCGGACAACGATATCCATTCCCTTATGGTTAGTTCAGGGTCATTTCCTTGGACCACTGCAAGTCTAAATGTGAAGCGAATTGGTAGTCCTTCTACACTGCACCGTTAATTATCGAAAGTGTGTTTTGAAGGGAGCGATTACGAGTCATGGGTGCTCTTATCCTTATCCTTGGTACTGGAGAGCATAGTTCGGGGAGAGCCCAACCCAAACTTCAATTTCACCTAATTAGTCTCACCGTTCGTTCCTTCATTCGATTCCTGCCAGCACCTAATCAACGATGAAGATAGGCCACAAAAATTTTCGTGGTTATTTAACAGAATACTAGATGTAGCGCCCTTCTTTGCTGGTCCCTTCGTCGTACCCACCGCCGCTGTGACGGTGCGCGTGCTCTCATCGGCGCCAACAGCGAACTCTAACTCGGAGAAAATTTTCCGCAGGCTGACCGTTGTACAGATTCTCTCTGGCTAAAGCTGACGACACCAAAAATACCAAAATATTTTTTAACAGTGAATGCATTTCAGAGCATGACTACCGAAGCCGAATCGTCAATGGTGAAAGTTTCCGAAGGTGTGAAGAATCGCTTGAATTCCGGTGAATGGTATGTGGCCGTGTGGAACTGACGGCATTGAACCTTTGGAGAACGAGGAACGTGAGCACTGTCTCGTCGAAGCTGAGACATTCGTGTGCTACGTTGTCAAGAAGGACTAAACACACATCAGGCCAAATACAGCCATTGTGCACTGCGGTTGTAGGAAACCGCTTTTAGCCAGCGTAATGTATTTCTCATATTCTTTTTACATTTACTAGATGAATTTTGTTGAATGTGACTATCTCGCTATACTGTGGTCAGCAACGCAGGTACACAAGAACATTCTTCGTTAAATAAAACGGTTTCTTAAGGTTTGAGGCCAGTACATCACTTCACTTCAGTGGTATTAAAGGAATCCTTCCCAGAAAAATCATGATTCTATCTCAGCCATAAATCACTGGCTTGAGACCCATCATCCACGATAAGAATGAAAAGAACAGAAAAATTGCATTTGTTTTGATAAAAATTCGAAGAACCAAGGGGGGTTGCTATCGCAAATGCTGGCGGTGAGAACGTCTCCACTGAATTCATGTAGTGCTGTCACTAAATACTCTTTTTGGCCTTATGACATATTGCATTAACATCTCACACTTCCACTACATCCTACTCTACCGATCATTTGTCTCTGTTCTCCAAAAT